GCTACATAATATCTAAAGAAAAGAGGCTGATATGATTCAGATTCTGGGGGCCAGCAATTCCAACCAAACAGTATGGCTCTGGCATCTGAGGAGGACCTTTTGTCGTGTCACATTGCGGAAGAGAGCTCACAGCAGCTGCACGCAGAATGGACCACACAGAGAAAGGGAAAGAGAGCAAACTGGGGAAGGTGAAGCAACTTTCAAACAACTCATTCTTGCCAAAAAGAATTAATTTTATTTTTATTACCCTTAAAGAGTTGTGCAAAGAGTGGTTTCCATTTAACATGCTGTTTGATGAGTACAATGCATCTTGATCACTTGGCTCAATGTCACCCCTTCCATCATTCTTCCTCCGTCTATTCCCAACTGCACCCTCCCTTATTTCCCAGTTCCATTTCCACATACGTTCATTGAGTATTATGACAGTATTTACCCATCCTTCCTCTCTCCACTTGTTATCCCTCCCCTCCCGCTCAGCCCCATTCCCCTATGACAAGACACTTTTCAGCTTCATTTTGTTAAACAGTTCATTGTACAGAGTTTGCATTATGGTATCTACAGTTCGATTATATGGATATGCATTGGTCCTATAAATGTTTCATAAACAAAACAACCCATTCTTTTTTCCTTGTTTTGCAAAAATTTGTTTTTATTTTTAAATTGTTAATTGTAGAGAGGCGTTACTGTTTTGTAAATCAGGCAATAAATATATTTCTTTTTGGACAGTGTCACCCCTTCCTTCATACTCTCCCAGTTTTTTCCTCTTGACCCTACCAATAAGTTGTCTGGTTCATTTTCAACATAGTAAGTCTAGTGAGTACCACTGCTGCATTTGTTCACCCTTTGTCCCTCCATTTCCCCACTTCTCCTTTCCCTCCCCAAGACAGTTAAATGAACAAATAAGACGAAAAGAAAAGAAAAACCCTCTTGTTTCTATTTCCTGGAGCTCAGCGGCACAGTAGCATTGTGCCTTTGTATTCCTCCTCTAAGAGTGTTCTCCTCTGTTCTCACTGGATGTGAATCTCAGAGTCCAGTACTCTTTATCAGGTTCCAGTGTATTTTAGATCTAGCTTCCACATAGGAGAGAAAACATGCTGTTCGTCTCTCTGAGCCTCACTTACTCACTTAATGTGATTTGTTCTAGATCCATCTATTTCCCTGCAATTGGCACAACATCATTCTCTCTAATGGCTGTGTAAAATTCCACTGTGTATAGGCACCCCATTTTGGGATCCACTCATCTATTGTAGGGCATCTGGGCTGTTGCCATAACTTGGCTATTGTGAATAATGCAGCAATGAACATGGATGCACAAGTGTCTTTACTGTATCCTGGTTTGTGGGGTTTTGGGTAGATGCCTAGGAGTGGTATGGCTGGGTTTTACAGAAGATCTATATTTTGTTTTTTGAGGAACCTCTAGAATTGCTGGCTAGGGTGGTTGTAGAAAACACTTCCTTGTTGGGAGAACAAATCCCAGCCCTCTATACCTGACCCACTCCTGAGAGACAACATTCATTCATTTATGAGGGCAAAGCCTCCTTGTCATAACTGCTTTCCACTAGACTCTGACTTTGAAGGTTCCACAACCTTTTAACTGTTATGGTGAAGATTACACTCTAGCATTTGAACTGTGAAAGCAAACCGTATCCAAACCATACCTGCTTGATTTACTTCTCAAATTAGATAGCAAGTTCTTTGAGATCAAACATCATCTTTTCTTTTTTTGCTGTTTTTTGGTCAGTCATGGGGCTTGAACTCTGGGCTTGGGCACTGTCCCTGCGCTCTTCAGCTCAAGGTGAACACTCTACCGCTTGAGCCACAACGCCACTTCTGGTTTTCTAGTGGTTTATTGGAGATTAGAGTCTCACGGACTTTCCTGCCCGAGCTGGCTTTGAACCATGATCCTCAGACCTCAGCCTCCTGAGTAGCTAGGATTACAAGGGTGAGCCACTGGTGCCCGGCTTTTAATTTCTTTTTATGCTATAGGCACAGTTGTTTGACTAATGTTGGATAATTATTAGGGTATGAGACACTTAGCAACTTTTAATGTGGTTTATCAGTATAACAACACTTCTATTTTAGAAGATACTGTATGAATAAGAATTCTAATGTCAGTAAATTATGGCTGAGAGTTCTCTCATAATTCTTACTCTTGCTAGATCCAATTTGGCACATTAATAATTCATTGGAATGTGTGTATGTGTGTATATGTGTGTATGTTGGTAGTCTGACGTTTTAAATTTGGTTCTAAGTCATTAAACAAAATAAATGAAAAATTTCAAATTGGAAAAGAGTGCTATTACTCAATTTTAACTGTAGAACACCTTGTAATAGTCTGAGAATCACTTTCATAAATCATCCAAATATCCTATAAATTTAACAGTTCAGCATTAAATCATCCAAACATCTCATAAATTTAAGTTCAGCATTCAAGCTATCTTCCCCAGAGAGTACCTTTTGCAGGAGCCATTCCTTAGAATTGTGCAGTACTTAACTCTGAAAATAATTCATAATCATTATAGGAAATTAGAGAAGTACAGAAAAGCATAAGGAAGAAAGTATACATCATTCATAATTCTATCATTGAGAAATAGGCATTTTTACCATAATGGAATATCCAGCCAATCTTTGAAAAAAATCATTTCTCCATTTATATTCTATACATTTAAAGAAAAGACAAATAGTCCAATTATTACAAAAATGGGCAAGAAATCTGAGTAGGCATTTCATAAAGGACTAATTCTAAGTGATCAATAAAATGCATTAGAAAAAAAATGCAAATTCGTAATTTCAACAATATACTTCTATATAATACAAAAAAGCTGTTAGCATTAAGAAAGACTGGCTAAGGTTAAATCCTCAGTGCTGCGAAGAAAAGAATTAAAAATAAAATCAGATACAACTAGGATTAATAAGAACATGGGATAATGGAAACTCTCAAAGTCCTGATGAGCATGGGCAATGGTTACAGGAAAGTAATGTTTGACATTATCTACTAAAGTTGAAAATCAACATATCATTCCCCTAGGAATACTACTCTAAATATTTACTCAGCAGAATGGTATGGAAGACTGTTCCTAGGAGCATTATTTATTTATCGGTTTTAAGATTAATTGCTGCCAAATTACTGTCCACATAAGTTATAGCAAACTGGATTCCAATCAGCCTTATAAAAGAATGCCAATGCGCTCTGTTCTCAATGTTAGGTATTGCCATATGGTTTATTGTATCCAATTTCACTTATCATGCTCTCATTTTTGTTGGCATTTGCATTTCTTTGACACCTAGCAATGTTAAACATTTAAAAATACATTAATTGAGTCGGGCACTGATGGCTCACACTTGTAATCCTAGCTACTCAGAGGATGAGACCTGTGGATCACAGTTTGAAGCCAGCCTGGGCAGGCAAGTCCATAAGACTCTTATCTCCAGTTAACCAGCAAAGACAAGAAGTTGAGGTGTGGTTTACATGATGGTGGAAAAAAACACTAAGGGACAGAATCCAGGCAACACACACACACACACACACACACACACACACACAATTATTGGCCATTGTAGTTTTTCTAAAAAGTATCTTTGCTCACATAAAAATTTAAATTTAAGTATGTGACTTAAATATTTCCTTGTGAATTCAAGAAAGATTATTAGTACACATGATATTAATTTTTGCTGTCATTTATGTACTTTTCCTGGAGTGTCTTTTATTCTTGCTTCAGATATTATACAAAATATTTGTATTGTAAAATGAGAGTAGAAAATGATATTCAACAAAGTTATAGCTTAGTGCTTTAGTGAAAAGCCAACATCCTTATCATTAATTACTCCTTGGGTGAAGAGACAGAATTAATTTCCCATATTCCTCTCCACCCCCTTCCACACAAGTGCTCACTCTACTGACGTTTCCAACATTACTTCCTTGTGTATCTTGTGTATCATATGCTTTCACCCCCAAGTGTGTGTCCCTACACATCACACTTTAGTATCATCCATTAAAACTTAATATATCCCTTTTGCGGGTTATCTTGAAATAAAATGCTATAATTCACATGCCAAAAATGTGTATGTAAAACCACCTTTTGTTCAGCCATTCATTGATGGATGGCCATTTGTATAGTTTTGTCATTTTCTGATGGCAATAATGCTGCTAGAAACAGGTTCATACATGTTTTTATGGGATGCAGCTTTCAATTCTCTTGGGCATACACTGATAGAATGTCTGGATTATATACTAAGTGTTATGGCTAACTTTATGAGGAGCTTCCAAATGGTTTTCCACAAAGAGCTACACCATTTTACATTCTCTCCTGGCATATACACAGGTTCCAATTTCCACCACTCATTGGATTAATATGTCTTTTAAGGCTTTTTAAAAATCTGTAATGTCTCTTGCCCTGTTCCCTTCTCTTCCCTAACATTTTATATATTGAGGAAATTAGGCTATTCAGTCTTTAGATTTCCCCCATAACCTGGGTTTTGCTGCAAGCATATGTACAATGAGGTGTAAAATGTCCTCCGATTTGGATCAGAGTGTGTAGGGTATATTGGGCAAGACTGCAATGGTGGATCTTGTATTTTTCAAGAAGATTCTATCGTATTGTGATATTTTATGCCTAGATCCATTAATTCTAATGGATTCAAATCATTTATCCAATGATTCAAGATACCTCTTTATCATGGACTAAATCATCTTTATAGAAAGACCTATTATAACTTTCTGTAGCTGTTGATGTCAGTCTTCCATTTCTGTGACCACCTCACACAGCCTTATTTTCTGTCTCTGCTGAGTATAAGAAACTTCCTTTTACTTTTTTTTGACATTTTCTTAATTATTCCTTTCCATGTGTTGAGATCATTATTCCAGCAATTTCATCAATCCTATTGGTTAGAATGGTAAATGATGTATACGGTGAAGAACTACATTTTCGTCACATAACACAGGGATTTGCTTCTTCCTATGGATCTTCCCAGTCCATTTCTGCTTTAAAATATCTGATCTCATGTTTACCTGGGAAGGAGATTGTGTGTGGAGACTGTGATCGCTTGGTGATTTTCCTGGTGGGAGGCTGATCTATTGCACACCAGATGGAGTCCTAGATTTCCCCAAATGAGGGAAACTCACTTGTATAACTTGAGGTAGTGGGGACTATGTTCATGTTCTCTCCTGAAAATGAAGAGGGGTAAAAACATAAAGATGTATATATGCATATATACATATGTATCTATGCTATGCATATGCCTTTATATGTATATGTACATAAGCCTTTATATATACCTCAGATACACACATGTATACATATATACTTATATATACACATAATATAGGTAACAGGTATACTGAAAAAAAATAAAAGTAGGGGCTGGGAAGGTGGCTCAGTGGTAGAGCGCTTGCCTTGCATGCATGAGGCCCTGGGTTCGATTCCTCAGCACCACATAAGCAAAAAGAAAAAAAAGCCGGAAGTGTCGCTGTGGCTCAAGTGGTAGAGCACTAGCCTTAAGCTGAAGAGCTGAGGGACAGTACCCAGGCCCAGAGTTCAGGCCCCAGGACTGGACCCCCCCCCCCCCAAAAAAAAGAGAAAAAAAAGTAATTGCATGTATACGTATATATTACATATGTACATATATTGCATAGTCTATATGATACAATATAATTGTATATATATATATATATATGTAGAGAGAGGGAGGGAGGTAATAAAAACATGTATACAGCTGTAATAGGTACTTAAAACTGCTTTTGACCCCCTATTTGGGCCTATATATTAACTAAAAGCTGAACAAAAGCCTGCCTCCATTTTGCATCTGTCTCTTTTCTCTTAAAGCTTTGGGCCAGACTGCTACTCAACTCTGACCATAGCATGTTAGTCATTCAAGGAGTATTTATAAAAACTAAGGACACCCAATTTTATCTCATTCCTCTTTGAGGCTGAAGGTTCAAAGAGTAACTGAGGTATTTTACCCCTCTCATCTTTACCATGCCCCTTTGGGACCACCAGTTGGACACCCGAAACTCTCATCGTTGTCCTCAGCTACACTTACCTTGGATTTCAGGAACAGTAGACTTTTCTATATAGCTCACACTGTCTGAGAAACTCCAGAGCCCTCCAAAAGAGGAGAAAGTATCTCAGAGGAACCAGCTTTTGCCTTTAGGGAACAGGGGCTTCTCTTAGCCACCATTCTCATGACTAGAACAGAGATCATGATCAACAAATGACTAAGACTGCTTAATAATCCATAACGCTTTCTTCTTCTCTTCAAACCTAATGCCCATGCTAGTGCCACAAAGATGTGTGAGATGCTGCTTCCCTCTTCCTGGGCCATGTTGAGTAAATCTGCATTCTCTGTCCATCGCCATTCTTCATCTCTTTAACTGGCATGCTGAGATATATGGTCTAGTCTTTTGGGACTCCTGGAGCCAGGGAATTTGCTCTAAGATGCCAGGACACTGTTTAAGCTAGGTAGTTTTGCTTTTCCCCGCCAAAATTAGAAGAGCCAAAGTGATGGAGCTGCTAGTGATGTGTCACATACATGCAAAATGAGTTACATTTTGTAAATCACTTATTGTCAGTGCCACTGGGCTGGTGTGGACTAGCCTGGTGACAAGAAGGATTTGCCATGGGAAACGTCTATCATTCTACTTCCAAAATGGCTAAGCTTTGCTGGTGGCAAGGAAATTTGGTGTTTCTGAAGGTGATATGGCAGTGTTGAAAGGGATGACATTGATCAAGTATACTATTTTCATTAACGACTTTGTTAAATGGCAACTCCTTTGTACAATCACTTAAAAATAATTTTTAAAAATAAAATTAGCTGGATGCCAGTGGCTCAAACCTGAATCCTAGGAACCTGAGGATCATGGTTCAAAGTCAGCCCAGGCAGAAAAGTCCCTGTGAGACTCTTTATCTCTAATTAATCACTCAAACATTGAAGTGGTGCTGTGGCTCAAGTAGTAGGCACTAGCTTTCAGCATAGAGGCTCAGGGACAGCATTCAGGCCTTGAGTTCAAGCCTCACAATTGGCAATAAATAAATAAATAAAATTAGAGAAATAAAAATGAAGCAAAAAATATTCTTCAGGTGAATGTCTCTTAATTCGTCAGTAATTCCAAGTTCTAGACATTTGTTTTGTCACATACTCCATTTAGAAGGCTCTATTCCATAAAGTCTTATTCTTTCCTCTGACAATTTCTCTAGTGAAGTTTCTTTGTTTGTTTGGTTTGGTTTTTTGTTTGTTTGTTTTTGCATGTCCTGGGGCTTGAACTCTGTCTGGGCCTGGGCACTGTCCCTGAGCAACTTTTGCTCAAGGCTAACACCTGACCATTTCAGCCACAGTGCCACTTCCAGCTTTTCTGCGATTAATTGGAGTTAAGTGTCTCATGTACTTCCTGCCCAGGCTGGCTTCCAACAGCAATCATCAGATCTCAGCCTCCTGAGTAGCCAGGATTTCAGGCATGAGCCTCCAGCACCTGGCCCCAGTGAAGTTTTTTATTCCTCTGGGTTAGTGATTTTTTTTGAGAGTCTTATTTCCATCCTGACTGAGGTCTGAGGATACCGTGCTCCATCTCTGCCTTGTTAAAGCCGAGCTGTAGGGGCAGGAGCCTGTGGCAGAATCTTTCAAAAGACTATATAAAGGGAACCAAATACCACACAGGTATATAAAGCCCTTGGCATTAAGATTCTGGGTTTTTTTCCCCTCCTTAGTTCTTTTGTTTGGATTCCCTTTCTTTCTTATATCAACTGACATTATTTTAATGGTTCATTTTCGAGGGAGACTAATTATACCCATGGTACATCTGCTTTCCCATTTGAAAATTTTCTTTCTGCCACAGGATTGGAAAATAAAACAGTTCACACAGCTGCCTTAGTTACCAAGACAACAAACCCATGAAGTGGCTGGCTACTTGGCTTGTTTGTCAGCTTTGCTGAATTACCTTCTAAATACAGTCACCTCCATTCTGAAATCTATATCTCTTTGAGATTAGGAGCTGAGAATTACTAGGTAAGATTTGTAGCAAGAACCTTATGCACCCTGATTATTGTTTGAGAATAAGTCAGTTTTTGTTTTCTCTTCAAATTTTCTTTTCAATTATTTAAAAAAATATATGTATATTTCTCTATAGTGCTGGTCCTGGGGCTTGAAATCAAGGATTTGAAGTCTCACTGGCTTTTTTATTCAATGGTGGTGCTCTACCACTTAAGCCACAACTCCACTCAACCACCTCTAGTTTTTGCTGATTAATTGGAGATATGAATCTCATAGACTTTTCTGCTTTGGCTCTTTTTTTCACACTGCAATCCTCAGCCCTCAGCCTCTTGAGTAGTTAGGATTACAGATGTGAGCACCCATCCTGCCTGGCTGAAAATACTTCTTTTTAAATATGAGAATTCAATCCTAATAAGACACATAATTTTAAAGAACTCATATATAAATATCGCTACCTAAAGGGTTTACACATGAATGGTATGATGGAGTATTTAGCTAAATAAATCATGTGAGGCCAAGGTTCAACTATTGTTGACTGGTTTTTTTTCTAGTTATTTTCCATTTGTAATTCAGAGGTTGCTATTGAGTTCTAGGAATTACTTTTAATATATGCTAGAAATCTGCCAGGCACTGGTGGCTCACACCTATAATCCTAGCTACTTAGGAAGCTTAGATCTGAGGATCACAGATCAAACCCAGCCCAGGCAGGGAAGTCCGTGAGACTCTTATCTCCAATTAACCACCAGAAAACTGGAAGTGGTGCTGTGGCTCAAGTGGTAGAGTACTCGCCTTGAGCTAAAGAGCTTAGGGACAGAGCCAGGTCCAGAGTTCAAGCCCCCACAACCCAACAACAACAACAACATATATAGATATAGATAGATAGATTCTAGAAATTAATCAGTTATCAGCAATATGATTATAGACATTTTCTCTCATTCTGTAGAGTGTCTTTTTACTCTTTTGAGAGTATCTGCTTTTTGTCTGGTTTGGTTTGAGACAGGGTTTCATTCTGTAGCCCTGGCTAGCCTGGAACTCGTCATCCTCCATCTTCAGTTTTCCAGGAGATGGGACAACAGATGTGCATCCATTTGCCTGGCTTGATGGAATCTTGCGATACATATAATTTAAATTTTGATAATGTTCGACTTATTATTTTCATTTGTTGCCTGTGCTTCTGGTGCCGTGTCCAGAAATCATTGTCAACTTCAAAGTCAAGATTTTCTCTTGCTCTCTTCTTCGAGTTTAAAAATTCACACAGAATCGGTGGGAAACAGGTGCAAATGTGCAGCAGCAGAGCTCACTGGCGGCACTGGACATTGATGAAAGTGAACCATGCAACTCATGGGCAGAGACGGGAGGGAGGGAATGGGAGAGAATGAGGGTACAGATGATACTTTGCAGAAGGAAAGAAATGTAATATTACCTGATGTTTATAAAGGTTAACTCCGAGGTATATCACCTCTAAAACAACAAAAAAGTAATTTCAGTCCTTCACTACAGATCTTTAATCTATTGTGAGTTATAGGTGTGAGCCAACAGGGCTCAATAATTTGATTGTGTTCTAAAGATCCATTGCTTAAAAAAAAATAGTTGGTTTGTTTCTGCTATGCTTTCTTGTTGGCTTAACTGCTTTGTCCCTCTTTTATAAACATTTTTTTCTTCTGTATCAGAAAATTCCAAGACTGAAGTCCTCTGAGTTATAAATGTACTATTTCTAGACAATGACAAGCTCCCTCCCCATCTCCAGTAACATTCGTTGTGAAGATGTTAATAATACTTTGATGTTAATATAGCCACTCCAACTTTGTGGTAGAGTTAGCATAATAGATCTTTTTTTTTTTTTGGTCTGTTGTGGGGCTTGACCTCTGGGCCTGAGTGCTGTCCCTCAGCTCTTCAGCTCTTGAACTCTTGAACTCTACCACTTGAACTACAGCACCACTTCCTGCATAATATATCTTTCTACCATTTTTACTTTCAATTTATTTACGTCTTTAATATTAGTTTAATGTAGAAGATGCATAATTTTCCTTGCTTAAAAACATCAGTATATCTAGTCATCTGTGCCTGAACACAGGCAATTTCATTTTATGGAATTTAGAAGGAAACAAAACAAACAACATTTTATTAGCACTATTAAATGATTATTAGTAATTACATATATCAAAAATACTAAATTGATAGCT